TTTAAGCCACCAGGTCTGGGACTCGAACCAAGGTCTACTACATGGGAGTCCAGCGACATAGCCATTATGCCATCTGCTGGTCCCGTGGAGGTATAACTTCTTAACCCATCCCTCACTTTCCTATATGCCTTACAAGTTAAGGGAGCTGCCTGTTTTACAATTCCCATTGTAATCAAGGGATTCAGAATGGTTCCATTTAAATAGTGTGTTTCAGTGTTCTCCAAAGCATACAACATGTGCTGATTTTCACCTTGGAGAATATGGACACTAGAAGTCTATTTAAATCCCTGGATAGAACGAAAGCCAGGTACAATTATAGAGTGAGGTAAGTAGGGTTTATAATAACTTGTTACCCCAGTCACAAATAGCTTGTTCCACTGACCCAACCTCCTCTACTCTGAAAAAGCCAGATGGGAAAGCCAAGCTGGTGTTCTTTACCCAAGCTTAAGGGAACAAAGTAGGGTGGGTGGGGCATCAGAGAATGTGAACGTTTGAGGTAAAAGGCAGCTGTGGAAGGAGCTGGAGTGCCTCCGTGGTAATTGAGCAGCTTAATCCCTGGTCTGCTGTGATTTACACTGGCAGACTTGGGCTGTGTCACAAACCCCTCGTGATCTGGGTTTATCATGGAAAGAAACTACTGGCTCTTAATTAGCACATCTGCACTTGCATTGTAATAAAGCATCAACACAAAAGGGTGATTTACAGGTTAAAATTCCCAAACCACAGCTCTAATTTCCATGATCCTTGCCTGTGCATTTATAGTCCATCAAGGAAGGCTCAAGTCTGCTTTGCTTGGTCTCTATGAGCTCAGGTTTGGGAAACTGGTAAAGCCAAGCAGTATTTTGGTTTTAGCCTATAGGTCTGGATCAGGAGTTGCCTCAGTGACTGACCTTGTTCTTAATTCTCTGTCTTCAGAAAATAAAAAGTAAAATAAAATAAAAATCCATTTTAGTAGTTTAAACACATGCATATTTACAACAGCCTGAAAAGTTGCTGGTTCTTTCCATTGTATTGTAACTTTTTTAGATGGGGCCAGAATGTATACTGGTTCATGTCAAGGAGGAAAAAGTCAACAATTTAACATGATTGCCCACTTATCATTATTTAAAGGTTGCAGGAGAAAGACAGAGAGGTAAGTAATATAGGTATTTTTCCTTCTCCCGGTTTTGGAGATAACAGGCATGAAAGCATTTTTGAAAAAGTAAAAGCTCTTATAAATATCAGACTTTGTGATTATTGTCATTTTCAGTAATCAGTGTTGAGGCCTGGAATGGCTTAAATATGCCATTTGCCTAGTAACCACAGTAGTTTGAGAATGAACCTAATTCTTATGGAAACATATCACATGCAAGCAGATTCACATTGCTCATTGGATGGGGAGAAGTGATAAATTGTCTGCAATTTTATCACAAGGGGTGACCTTGAATGTCAGCAGAGATTTGTGACATCATTAGCTGTGTGACCTTCTCAAAGTCACCACCATCTCTGAGTCTCACTTTTTCTGTGAAACGATGCAATAGTAAGCAGTCAGTTGTCACTTTAATAAGAGATGAGATACAGTAAGGAAGAATAATTCTCAAGCCATTTTGCTAATACAGTAAAACCTCACCGATTTGGACTAACAGAGGGGAAGGATCGTTTAAATGAGTAAAGCAAAGTCTTGAATTACGAAATAGGTGGAAGGAATGACAGTTTTATTACTTGAAGTCTATTTTGTAATTCAAACTGACTATAAAACATTGCCTTAGTGGAGGTGCTCGTGGGAACTACTTTAGCAGATAGATTTGTAATGAATATGATTATATCTAATAAGTGCTTCCAACGTTTGAAAAGGGTTTGTTCTCTCAAGGAAAAATTCAACCAACAGTCTGACTAAACTCTACATTTGCTTAACAAACCTCTCTTGTCCTTATGCCTGATAATATAAAAGTTAACTTGCAGACTAGCCCCTGTAGTTTTTTATAAATTATTAATTAGTGAGCTTCTGATTAATGAGGTTTCACTGCTATTTCTACCTCCTTCTCCATGGATTTGTTTTTAGCATTACCCTGAGTTGTGGTAAAACAGATTCAAGTTCATCTCTTGCCCCTTCTCTTGCTCACTCTCAGAAAACGGCAGGTAGCAAGAAGGAAGAAGATAAAGGCAAGCTCCTTGGTAATCCAGAAATAGAAAAGGCAATCGTTGGATATGCAGCACTGATTATACTATTATCCATAGTTGACAAAGGAGGTGCTCGTGGGAACTACTTTAGCAGATAGATTTGTAATGAATATGATTATATCTAATAAGTGCTTCCAACGTTTGAAAAGGGTTTGTTCTCTCAAGGAAAAATTCAACCAACAGTCTGACTAAACTCTACATTTGCTTAACAAACCTCTCTTGTCCTTATGCCTGATAATATAAAAGTTAACTTGCAGACTAGCCCCTGTAGTTTTTTATAAATTATTAATTAGTGAGCTTCTGATTAATGAGGTTTCACTGCTATTTCTACCTCCTTCTCCATGGATTTGTTTTTAGCATTACCCTGAGTTGTGGTAAAACAGATTCAAGTTCATCTCTTGCCCCTTCTCTTGCTCACTCTCAGAAAACGGCAGGTAGCAAGAAGGAAGAAGATAAAGGCAAGCTCCTTGGTAATCCAGAAATAGAAAAGGCAATCGTTGGATATGCAGCACTGATTATACTATTATCCATAGTTGACAAAGGGATTGACTTATTTCAAAGGTTTGCTGGAGTAATGACCAAGAAAAGTGCTTTGAAAGATGCCTGGCAGGTAGCACTATGGTCAAAGAAGTTGGAAACATTTAGGATCTACTGAAATATAGTTTTCAATTTGCACATCGAATTCAGAAACTCTGGAAATCGTGAGTTGTAGTAATAAAGTTACTTGGTAAAAGACTTTGTAGCAGTACCAGCTGAGGAAAAACAAAGCTTGATTGGTGGTTGTAATTAACAAATAGCTGGTCTAAAGTTTTGGGGTCTTCATGATACCAAAACATCTGGGTGAAAAGTACAAATTCAGCCAAATACATGTGGTTTTTTTACTTGTTTATATAACGTCAAACGTCTGGTTATTTGAAAACTTCTGGGCACTTGGCATCATGTGGATGTTCTATCTTGATATAGTCCATGGCTCCTTTTTTAACCATGCTGAGTGTGAATTCATGATGAATTTGTGAGACCAATGTATCCAATCCAGATCAATTTTCGTTCTGCAACTCACTTCTCCGTGGCTGCTAATAACATGAGAAAAGGATCAGGAAGAAGGTGCTAAATACTTTGGGCATCAAGTTAGCCATTGTAAAATTCAAATGAGCCAAGAGCTTGGCTAAATTGTCAATGGCATCAGTTCACATTGGTGGGAAAGGAAGTTACTGTTTTTTGACACACAGTAAAACCTTGATTAATTGGAATCCATAAGGGATGAATGTAATTTTCAACAAGAATACTCGTTTTGTTTCATTCTTGGCTAAAAACATTTTCTCTTAAAATGCTTGTGTCCACTTTCTTGCCTCAGGGAACCAGCCTTTAACATTTGAGGGTCAATCCAGATGGAGAGAAGATAGAGGAGAAAGAGCAGGTTGTGGCCTAAGCACAGGTCATCTCTTGGCAAGTGATTTTTTAAAAACCGATTCCTTGCGGTCTTCTTTTTTGGGGATACTATTGCTGCTTTCTCATCAATGTGAAGTACTGAGGGGAGGCAATTCAGTTAGTTGGGGTAGCGTTAGGTGAGTTCTGGTTAATCAAGGTTTTACGATAAAGGGCCTTGCCAAGGCACAGTAAGATTTATATGCTGAAGAAAGTTGTTTTAAAATGTATTTCTTTGACAGTGCTCTGGATCAGTGTTTCCAAACCCATATTATACTGCAGACTGGCAAACTAACTTTTCTGTTAGGATCTTGAGGGATGGAGAGGGAGAGAGAGGAGCAGAAGTGTGACCATTGTCTCTGAAGGAGAAAAGTTTGGGCTTGCCTGTCTGTTGTCTGTGGTTGGGAAACACTGTTCTTCACTTTAAGATGCCCATGGTATCTTGGTTGGACAAGAGCTGATCTTACATGCTTCAGTATAAGTCTCGGGCCATGGAGGATTCTGTTCTCAGGTCCTCTCCTGTACTTACCCAATGTGTCTTTCCATAACTTGGCACCATAACTTCTGAGCTTGCCCCTATTTCCTGTTGCTTGGACGACAGCTATTCCTTCGTTTTGGCCCCGAAGAAGAGCGTTAGGAGCCAAAGTAAAGCCAAGTAAGATGGATTTTTCTCACGATGGCAGCCTGGATAACAATTAGACCTACCTGAACCAAGAACATGGCTAAGGAAAAACCAAATCAGGTATGCATACACACATAGTATCACAGTTAGGCGACGCACTTATTTAAATACACAAAATGGCTTTGCAAAGTCTCTATATGGGATGGCCTATTGAAGAAAGACCCCATTTAACTTGAAACCGAACTTGTTCTTTGGCTTTCAAGTTAAGTGGGGCCTGCTTAAATGGATCATCACATATAGAGAACAACATATCACCACTCATACACATAATAGAAGTCATCCCTACTCAACCAACCAACCTGTGAGTGACTATTATGTCCTAGGGAAAAAGAAAAGGCTATAACCTGATATTTCAGCACATGAATCTGATTTCTCACACCATTCAACTGAGGCAGGTGGAGACACTCTCACAAGAAAGCCTTGGGCTCTTGAATGCCTAGGGCATTGAAACCCATAGCATAGCCTTTATAAGGCAACCAGTCTGATATGTGAGGAGATGGAGGGAGTATGGATGGGGAGCCTCTGTCTGGGAGTTTAAGAAGGGACCCAAGTTAGATCAAAAATGTGGGCAGCGCCCTAAAGTCTTTCTGGTTCCCAAAGCTGCCAGGCAGGGGAATAACCTAGTCATTCCACTTTGTGTGTGAGTCTTGTGCTCTCTCCTCAATAGTAAGATAACAGTCTTGCCGATTACTCGTCACTAAGGGTACCCGGTTGTGGTGACATTGAGGCTGACCTTGGAGTCACCGCCCCCGCTGCCGCACTCTCCTTTGTCGTACCACCATTTGTTTTTCAATTTGTCCAAGAGGCCTTGCTCATTCAGTTTTAATACTGCCAGGTTAACAGCATTTCTTGAAACGATAAAACATAACTTGTAAGAAAATGCACAAATGCTTAGGAAATCGTTAACGTATAAAAAAGGAGCACAAGAGGACAAATTGGCTAAATTTCACAGAACGTGGAGCTATAAAAATGTCTGTACAGCAAATACAGGGTTAAATATTGGAAGGTGGCATGGAGGATAACATTTGCTCAAAACTGAAGTGTGCGGGATGGGGAAATTGTCTTTGAGAAAAAAAGTAACAAGAACACCACATCCATGCAATTAACATTCGTCACATATGGCACCATAACTTGGCTTTTACCATTTAAATTGAAAAAGCCGTTGAACTGTAAAATTAAAACAGCAACAAACAGTCAGAGAGGACAACACAGAGAGAGAACATTAAAAAAAAATGGATGCATTAAATAGATGAAACCATAATTTACCGTCTTATTTAACTCCATGGAATAGTGTAGATTTTAAACTTTTAAAAGTTACCTCAAAATCCACAAGAAAGAAAATGACAACAAAATGCATCAGGGTAGGTGGAATACTATAACAACACGGATATTGTTATATTATTCCCACCACCTTAATGCTGAGCCTTTAGGGGTTGCCACACCATAGCCTTTGGAATCCAGATTTCCACCAACTTTCATCGTATCACATGGTTTTCTCTGCTCAATGTACTCATTCATGGTTGACTCCAGCAGGAAGGCGAATTTTCCCTTGGACTTTCGCACTCGGGCCACTCCATCTGCTGTTGTTTTGGTAAACACAGATGGTTCTGCCGATTTCATGTAAGACCACATTTTCTCATACACGGCGATTTTGGATCTCTATGACAAGGAGATAAGGGTTATTAGAACTGAGAGATATTAAATGTGGAAGAGGCCTTAATTCAGTAGTTTTTAAACATTTTTTTTTGAGATGTTTTCACTACAGGGCACGTGCACTTGCCAGAAAGACAGAGAGCTAGAAAGTGAGAAATCACCCCCCAGGGGGGATGGCCATGCCGCAATCCCTTCTCCTCCCCTCTCCTCTTGGGATCTTGGGCACACACTCACACGCGCCTGGCGTGAGTGTAAGCCATCGGGTCCGGGACTCAAACTGTGGTCGACTACATGGGAGTCCAGCGACATAGCCATTGCTGGTCCCAGTTTTTAAACATTTTTGGATTGTGATCCACATTAAGAAAAACATGTTACACTGCAACCTTGAAGACACATGTACCCATATATAAACATGTTTCTGAAACAGGCTCTCAAAATGAGATTCACTCTTGCCATGTGCGATGCTGATATTTTCCATTCTAATTCACTGTTTAAAATGCTGGTCAGAGCCCTCTAAACTGATTTTCTGGCCCCATTAATTGGTTGCAATCTGTGTTGAAAAACATTGTTAGTTCAGTTTTCCTCTCAATGAGGAAATATCCTGTAGTGTGTTTGTTCTGTATCTGCCCAAACAAAGTCCATTGGAAGGGAAAATACAACCATTTTAGTCAACGCACTCCAACTTGGGATACCAATTATTATAGAAAAATACTTCTTCATTCTGACCCCACCTTTGTTTCTCTAACTCTCACCCTTTTGTACTATCTGCTACAGCTATGTAAAGCAATTCTGTTCCTCTTCTGCATAATAGTCCTTCAAATATTGCAAGGCATTTACTATGTTCCATCCTCTCTTCATCAGGCAAAACTCCATTGTCTGATGTTGAACTCCAACAACAGTGGTCCTTCCCCCAGAGGCATATTCTACTTGATTATTCTCTTAAACTGGAGTATCTAGAAATAAATATGTCCCTACCGCAAATATATGACCAGAGCAGAATAAAAAAAAATAAATACAACCCTCTTTTCTTTTTGCTATTGTTGTCTATCAGTGCTGCCTGAGATGCATTAATGTATTCAGTTATTCATCCTTTCAACAAATATTGAGCACGTGCTATAGAGAAAGCATCTTACTGGGGTGTACAAAATATAATAGAGTGAATAAAATCCTTCCCTCATTTCAGATTGAGGCCAAACCAAAACTGTTCTTTTTACCAACCGAATCTCCCTCATCTTTACCTTGGTGAATTTTGAATTTAATCTCATGACATGCCATCTTAATTCAGGTGGTCATTAGAACATGTACTAAATGTTTATGATGTCTCTAGCTCTATGTTAGTCATTCTGGAGAATATGAAGGACTGCATTGCCTCTCAACTAGTTTCCCTGCTTTATCTCTGTCTTTATCTTCCAGTGATCCTTCCAAAATGTAAACCTGATCAAGTTACTGCTTTCTTTCAAATCCTCTGATAATTCCTCTAGTACATACACGAAGAAATCCAAATGTTATGTATAATATTCAAGAGTGATCCCAGTCCTATAGTCCAGTTACCCTGAACTACTCACTGATCCCTGAAATAAGCCACACGCTTTTATGTCTTATGCCTCTGATTACATGTTGGCTTTTGCTTGAATTACATTACTAATCCTACAAGAGCCAGAGCAAATGTCATGTCTTTTGTGCACTCTCTCCTGTCCCCAACAGAAGTGCTTCCTCCACTGTTCTCCCCAAACGCTTTGCTCCTACTTTATCAATAGAGCTTACTTTATTGCATTAGGTGAGTTGGCTATGTGTCTGTCTTCCCCTTGTTATTTGTGTATTTCATGAGAACAAAGCCCATGCCTTATTCATTTTCGCAGTCTTCTTAGCACAAATACATGGAAACCACAAAAGATATGTTTGTTTTATAATTGAAGCTTGGGCCTGATCAGAATGATAACTGGGTTGCTAATTAAAGATATCAGAAGGTTGGGGTTGACAAGTGGCATGGCAGTTAAGGGCGCTGGACTCCCACATGGCCGACCACAGTTTGAGTCCCAGATCTGGCAGCTTGCTTTCTCACTTTCTCTCTTTCTCTCCTTCTCTGGTCAAATTAAAATAAGTAAAGTTAAATAAAACAATTCTTTAAAAAAAAGATTAGAAGGTTTGTTACAAATGTCTACCAGCACCAGTTGTATAGCACTGTAGAATTCTAGAGCTGAAGTTTCTCTTTTATTCAAGTTTCATTTTATCATTAATTGACAAATAATAGTTGTATGTATTTATGGGGTACAATGTGATGTTTCAATATATGTACATGTTGTGGAATGATCAAATAGGGCTAATTAATTATCATATACATCATCTCAAATATCTATCATTTCTTTGTGGTGAAAACATTCAAAATCCTTCCTTTCAGCTACTTTGAAATATACATTATTATTAACTGTAGTCTTCTTGCTGTGCAATAGGACACTGGAACTCATTCTTCCTATTGAACCAAAACTTTGTACCTGTTAGCCAGTGTCTTTCTCTTTCCCATCCATCCCTCCTTCCACCAGTCTTTGGTAGTCACCATTTTATTCTCTAATTCTATGAGTATGGCTTTTTTTAGATTCCACATATAAATGAGATCATATGGCATTTTTCTCTCTGTGCCTGGCTTTTTCCACTTAACATCATGTCCTCTAGGTTCATCCATGTTGTCACAAATGAAAGAATTTCCTGTTTTGTTTTTTTTTTTTTTTATAGATTTTTGCTCTAGGATGTGTGCACTGGCCAGCCAGCCAGAGAGAGACAGAGAGACAAAAAGTGAGAAATCACCCCCCAGAGGGGATGGCCATGCTGCAATCCCTTCTCCTCCATTCTCCTCTTGGGATCTTTTTTTGAGAGTTTTTTTTTGTTTGTTTTTTGTTTGAGAGGTTTTTGCTATAGGGCACGTGCGCTCACCAGAAGACAGAGAGAGACAGAGAGACAGAAAGTGAGAAAATGAGAAATCACCCCCCTGGGGGGGGGGAGATGGCCACTCTGCAATCCCTTCTCCTCCATCCTCCTCTCAGGATCTTGAGCATGCACTCATGCACACGTGCCCAGTGTGAGTTTAAGCCACTAGGTCCAGGACTTGAACTGTGGTTGACTACATGAGAGTCCAGCGACATAGCCATTATGCCAACTGCTGGTCCCCCCGGCATGAGTTTTAAGTCACCAGGTCCAGGACTCGAACTGTGGTCGACTACATGGGAGTCCAGTGATGTAACCATTATGCCATTTGCTGGTCACAGAATTTCCTGTTGTTTAAAAGGCTGAATAGTATTCCATTGTGTATATATACTACACTTAAAAAAATCTATTCCTCTACTGATGGACATTTATGTTGTTTCCGTATTTCAGCTATTGTGAATAGTGCTATAATGAACATGAAAGTACAGACATCTCTTTGGCATACAGATCTTGGGTCCTTTGGGTATATATCAACTGTTGGGATTGCTGGATCATATGGTAGTTCTAGTTTTAGTTTTTTGAGAAACTTCCATACTGTTTTCCAAAATGGCTGTACTAATTTACAATATTACCAATGGTACATAAGAGTTCATTTTCCCCCACATTCTCACCAACTCTTGCTCTTTCATAGTTAAGATAATAGCCAATGTGACAGATATGAAATATTATCTCATTGTGATTTGAATTTGCATTTCTCTGATATTTAGAGATATTGAACATTTTATCGTATACCTCTTTGCCATTTGTATGTCTTCATTTTTTTTTTTGGAGAGGTTTTTGCTATAGGGCGCATGCACTCGCCAGACAGACAGAGAGAGACATAGAGACAGAAAGCGAGAAATCACCCCCCAGAGGGGATGGTCACGCCGCAATCCCTTCTCCTCCATTCTCCTCTCAGGATCTTGGGTACGTGTTTTAAGCCACTGAGTCTGGGATGCGAACCGCAGTCGACTATGTGGGAGTCCAGCGACATAGCCATTATGCTAACTGCTGGTTCCCTGTATGTCTTCTTTTGAGAAATGCCTATTAAAATCCTTTGCCTATTTTTAAATAGGGTTATTTATTTCCTTGTTATTGGGTAATTTGAATTCCTTGTATATTTAGGATATCAGCCCCTTATCTTATGTATGATTTGCCTGTTTCCTCCTAATCCATGTAGAGCTGAAGTTTTTCTAAAGATCGTCAGGTCCAATGCCCTGATCAATCAACCAGGACATATATGCTTTGCAATCCTCTTCTTAACCACTTAGCCTGGTTTTGATGCCCACACCAATAACTTCCCCCCAATAATCCCTAATAATCAAGGCCTTCTAGTATTGAAATCTCATAGTCATTTATGCTCAGTCCATATTACATTATCCTCAACTGATACATAAAACAATCTCTCAGCATTATAATGAAATATATTGTCAATGACTTTATTTTATCTCAGTAGAAATTTCCTAGGCAGTTGCCTCAAGAGTTAAAAAATAGTAAACTGGAGCCAGCCCATAGCCAGGTGGTTAAGGCAGCTGGATCCCACATGGCTGACCCTGAGGTTTGAGTCCCAGACCAAGTGCTTGAGAAATATGCCAGGCATGTGTGCTTGCTTGCCTAAAATCACAAAAGGAGGGAGAGATGAAGAAGAAGGGATTGTGACATGACTATGCCCCATGTGAAGGCTGCTTGCTCTTTTCTCTTTAACTCTCTGTCTCTCTTTAAAAAATAGTAAATAATTTAGATACACACAAAGGTCCATTTTTTTTCATCATAGACAATATGGTAGTGGGTATGCATTTTTGTGCACTTATAAAGAGGCATTTTGTTCTTTATCTTGGCCCAATCAGACCTGAGTCCTAGGTGGGGAGCAGGGGGAGGCTGTAGACTAATTTGTCTTTCACATTATTTGCAAACAGACCATTTCTTCCAAAGAGAAATTTATAAGCCAAGGGTGGAGGTGTCCATGAATTCTGATCCAAGTGCACTATAATTTGGACTCATTTACTTGAGTTCTTTGATTGCTGATACAGGTTGAAAGGTTTATTTCT